GAAAGGTAAAAAAAAAAAAAAAAAGTTATTTATAATTTATAATTTTTGAGGATATTAAATAATCATATTTCATATTGAATAAATATATTTATTAAATAGATGACAACGGGTGTTATAATATGGTTTTACAGTATGCTACTGACGGAACTTTGCGGCAATATCTAGAAGCAAAATTTAAAAGATTGCTATGGGGTGATAAACTACGTATTGCTAAAGGTATAGCACATGGACTTTTATTTTTACATAGTAACAATATTATCCATAGAGATCTTGTAAGTACTAATGACCTTACTAAATTCTATATTTATTAAATTACTCTATATTTATTAAATTATTTTACTAAATTCTATATTTATTAAATTACTAATAATTCTTTAATAATTTAGCATTCAAAAAATATATTAATTCATCAAAACCAACCAAAGATCGCGGATTTTGGATTATCAAAGCAGATAAATGAAATGTCTATGACTTCGAACTCAATTGTTCATGGAATGCCGGCATACATAGAACCTAAATGTTTTACCGATCACAAATACAAACGTGATAAGAAATCTGATGTTTATAGTTTTGGAATAATTCTCTGGGAAATTTCAAGCGGAAGGCCTCCATTTCAAACCGTTAAATCCAGAGATTCTCTCGTTGTTTTCATATCCCAAGGAAAAAGAGAAAAGCCTATAAAAAACACTCCACGTCAATATATTAAACTTTATGAACAATGTTGGGACAAAGTTCCTGCTAAACGCCCTGAAACAAAATCAATTTTTAAATCCTTAAACCAACTTATTCTTGACGAAAATTTGAATCGACACCCTAATGAAAATTTGAATCGACACTATTCTATTCCTATTCAAAATAAAAGATCTTTCTCAAGTCGTCAAAAGATTACAAACTCACGTGCAAATTCTCGTAATATTACGACTTCTTCGCCACTTTATTTACGTGATACTATAAGTTTGAGCATTTCAACAAAAGGCAATAGAAAAACTTTCCCAAGTCGTCGAAATAAGATAAATTCACGTGTAAATTCTCTTAATATTACGACTTCATCTTCACATTATTTATCTGATATTACGACTTCATCTCCACTTTATTTATCTGATACAACAAGTTCAACCATTTCAACCCAAGGCAATACAAACTCACCTGTAAATTCGCTTAACATTACGACTTCATCTCCACTTTATTTATCTGATATAATAAATTCAGACACTTCAACGCAATATATCAATTCATCTTCACTTTATTTATCTGATACAAACATTCCAACCCAAGACGATGATATTCTTGAGAATATGAGAAAAGATGCATCTGAATGTTTTGATGAAGGCAAATTTCTCAATGCATTAGATCTTTATGAAGAAATTCTCATGAATAGTCTGCATAATTCTGAAGATCAAAAAAATGCTTCAGCTTGGAATCTTTATCGTAAGTGTAAATTAGATCAATTAAATGATTTAATAAAGGCACTTTGCAAGAATACGACGTTGAAAGATTTGAATCTTAATTCGAATAATATTGGATCTGAAGGTGGAAAAGCATTAGCTGATGTACTCTGCAAGAATACTACGTTGACTTCTTTGGATCTTAGAGGTAATGATCTTGGTCCAGAAGGTGGAAACGCATTAGCATATGCTCTTTGCAAGAATACAACTCTGATTTCTTTAGATCTTAATTCAAATAATCTTGGTTCGAAAGAAAAAGCTTTAGCAGATGTTCTTTGTGTAAACACTACGCTTACTTCTTTGGATCTTGAAAATAATAAGCTTGGTTCTGATTTTGGAAAAGCGTTAGCAAATGCTCTTTGTAAGAATACCACGCTGACCTTTTTGAATCTTGGTTGGAATGAACTTGGTTTGGAAGGTGGAAAAGCGTTAGCAGATGCACTTTGTAAAAACAACACCTTGAAAGATTTATGTCTTACTGGAAATAATCTGGGATCAGAAGGTGGAAAAGCATTGGCAAATGCATTTTGCAAAAACACTACGCTTAAAGATTTGAATCTTAGTTATAATGAACTCGGGTCAGAAGGTGGAAAGGTATTAGCAGATGCACTTTGCAAAAATAATACCTTGAATTCTTTGAAACTTTATAAAAATAATCTTGGGTTAGAAAGGTAAAAAAAAAAAAAAAAAGTTATTTATAATTTATAATTTTTGAGGATATTAAATAATCATATTTCATATTG